CTCCGAGCCCGCCTCGGTCTCCCCGTGCTCCCGCTGTCCACAGGGGCAGTCATCACAGCCCAGGGTGTCTGCCTGGGCACACGCCTCGCTCAGCTCAGCCAAGGTGAGCCAGGCTCCGGCACCTGCCCAGTGAAAGCAGGGGAATGGGCATTGGCTAGCGGGGGTGGGGGGTGGAGGTGGGGAACAGCCAGGGAAAAGTGGGCGCCAGGCAGAACCTGAGGGACCTGAACAGTGAGAGGAGTGGAGGTAATCTGGCTCCGGGTAAAGGGGGTGGGCATTGGGAACTGACCTATAGGCCCCAGGAAAGTTTGGAGCCAGGTCTCTGGTGGTCTGGGATTCAGGTAAAGGTGGATTCTTGGGGAGGGTGCAGGGTGGTGCGGAGACGGGCCAGTGGTATAAGGGGATGGCCCCAGGCCTGGTATTGATGGGCTGGGTCTCTCCCTTCTCGCCTGTAGAGGATGTAGTTCTCCACTCAGAGAGCAGCTCCCTCTCAGAGTCTGGGGCCAGCCACGATAATGGTGAGGACTCCCTCACCCAAACCCACCACCCTTTGATGTTCAGCCCCTCCCCTTCCTCTCCAGCTTCTCCTTAGCCACGCCCCGTCCTCCAGTGGGACTCCCCTCTTCAACTTCAGCCTGCTCAGCCCTGCCCAGCCCTCTTCCCCTCCTGCCTCCCTAGCGCCTGCCCTTTGCTTTACACACAACCTACCTGGCCCCTCTCATTGAATTCTCCCCCACTGACTGTCTGTCTTCTACCCAGAGGATCCTCGTAGCTGCTTCCCTCTGGCTGAGCGCCCCTCGCCGCCCAAGACCTGGGACCAGCTGCGGGCAGTATCTGGGGGCAGCCCTGAGCGGCGAGCCCCATGGAAACCACCCCCGTCAGATCTTTATGGTGACCTGAAGAGCCGACGGAACTCCGTGGCCAGCCCCACCAGGTGAGGTTGAGTCCCTTCCCTCCTTTCCCCGTGAGCTGGGAGTAGGGTCCTGAGCCTGGGCTGGCAGGAGGGCCTGCTGGCGGGAACAGTCTCTAACGTGGACCCCTACCCGGGCTTGCCCATCTCTGTCTAGCCCTACACGCTCGCTGCCCAGGAGTGCCTCCAGTTTTGAGGGGCGAAGTGTGCCTGCCACCCCTGTTCTCACCCGGGGCGCTGGCCCCCAGCTCTGCAAGTAAGGGGGCTTGGGGGGTGGGTTTGAGGACCAGAGGAGGGAACCATTAGCTCTAAGTGGGAGAGCATTCCAAAAGGGTGTGGGACATGAGAGGCTGGGCTTTGAAAGGTGAATAGGACTTGCTTGGTAGAGAAGTGGGTGAGGATTTGAGGACAGAAGTCCCAGCGATTGAGTATGGGCTTTTCTATGTATTTTGGACAAGTCATTTCCTGCCTGGCCAGTGTTGTTCAGTGGATTGAGCGTTGTCCTATGCACCGGGAGGTCACTGGTTCGATTCTCAGTCAGGACACATACCCAGGTTTCAGTCTCGATCCCCAGTAGGGGGCGTTCTGGAGGCAGTGAATCAATGTTTCTATCTCTCTCTCTCCCTCTCCCTTCCTCTCTCTAAAATCAATAAAAAAAACCACACATATCATTTCCCATCTCTGAATCTTGGTCTCCTCATTTGTAAAATGAGAATAATAATATCTGCCTTTGATGTGGACATACTAAGTTCTGGTTAACTTGTACTGAGTACTGAGTGTCTGCTAGGGATCTGTGCATTGCCTGGTATCAACTCACTTCATCACCACAAGATCTCTATGAGGAGGTGCTATTGTTATTCCCATTTTATAGATGAGGAAACTGAGGCACAGAGAGGCTAGGTGACTTGTTAGCAAACCAAAGGCCTGGTATTTCAACCCAAAATTTGACTCTAAGTCCGTGCTTTTAACCACTGTCCTCTACCGCTTCTTCTTCTTTTTTTTTTTAAATATATTTTATTGATTTTTTACGGAGAGGAAGGGAGAGGGATAGTTAGAAACATCGATGAGAGAAACATTGAACAACTGCCTCCTGCACACCCCCTACTGGGGATGTGCCCGCAACCAAGGTACATGCCCTTGACCGGCATCGAACCTGGGACCCTTGAGTCCGCAGGCCGACGCTCTATCCACTGAGCCAAACCGGTTAGGGCTCTGCCGCTTCTTCAGTACCCAGTGCCTGCTTTTCTCAGGCTGTGAACAAAGCAAAGTCCGGGCCTCATGGTACTTGCATGTGGTGATGGTGGCTAGTGGGCTGATAGTTTTGGGTGGTTCATACACATGGGGGTGGGGAGGACAGAGAATTTAGGAAGGGCCTTGAAGTTGAGGCCTAAGGATTAGTACCTCATTGTGGAGGAAGTGGGGGGCCATGAGAATCGCCTTAGCAAGGGGTGCTGGTCAGATGTGCTCGGTAGAGCCCTCGTCTGGGCGTTCCCCTGCCAGCATTTCCTCTCTAGCCTTGCAAACACCGGCATCTCCCTTGAAGCCAACAGCCCTGGGCCCCCATACATTTTTAATTCCTCTTCCTTCAGTTTGGGATAGAACCTCTTCTGCCCTTTACATGCCTCTACCTAACACCTTTATACACGCAATTTCTAATCCAGGGGGATGGAGGAGTGATGGCTCAGAGAGAAGCATGATACGGACCTAGGGCGCTCAGCCCATCTGCCTATTTCTGACCTTCCTCCCATTCCCCCCACCCTTTCTCCCCCAGACCTGAAGGCCTCCATTCACGCCAGTGGTCTGGTAGCCAGGACTCCCAGATGGGCTTCCCCCGGGTGGACCCGGCCTCGGACCACCGCGCCTCGCTCTTTGCAGCTCGCACCCGCCGTAGCAACAGCTCCGAGGCCCTGCTAGTGGACCGGGCAGCTGGGGGTGGAGCTGGCTCCCCACCTGTGCCTCTGGCTCCCCCTGCCCCTGGTCCCCCAGTCTGCAAGAGCAGCGAGGTGCTGTATGAGCGCCCCCAACCAGTCCCTGCCTTTTCCTCCCGCACAGCTGGCCCCCCAGATCCTCCCCGGGCTGCCCGGCCGAGCTCAGCTGCCCCTGCCTCCCGTGGGGCCCCCCGGCTCCCACCTATGTGCGGGGACTTCCTCTTGGACTATTCCCTGGACCGGGGCCTGCCCCGAGGTATTGGTGGGCCAGGCTGGGGGGAGCTGCTGCCTGCAGCTGAGGTCCCAGGACCCTTCTCCCGCCGGGATGGGCTCCTCGCCATGTTCCCAGGCCCACCACCCATGTATGCAGCTGACGGCAGCAGCCCCCTCCTCCGCAGCAAGGACCCCCACACCCGGGCCACCCGCACCAAGCCCTGTGGCCTGCCCCTGGATGCCGCAGAGGGTCCAGAGGTGCATCCAAACCCCCTGCTGTGGATGCCCCCACCCACCCGTATCCCTCCAGCTGGTGAGCGCAGTGGCCACAAGAACCTTGCCCTGGAGGGGCTACGGGACTGGTACATCCGGAACTCGGGACTGGCCTCGGGGCCCCAGCGCCGGCCTGTGCTGTCCCACATGGGCCCGCAGCACCCACCCTTCCTCCACGCCCGCTGCTATGAGGTGGGCCAGGCGCTGTATGGGCCCCCCAGCCAGGCACCCCTCCCGCATTCGAGGAGTTTCACGGCGCCCCCTGTCTCCGGCAGGTATGGGGGGTGCTTTTACTGATGGGTAGGGGGTCTCTTCAGGTAGAGGGCAAAGGTCTCCGGGCTAAAAGGGGGTGAGCGCCAATGACTTGGACCATGGGCCCTGCCTGACCTACATTAGTCCATGGGGTCTCGGTGGAGGGGTATCTTGAGCCCTGGGAGCAGCAGTTCCTTGCCAAGATATAGAAGAATTTTAATATTTTAACAAGCAGTGCATGTCAGCTGAAAGTGGACCTTGGAACCAGGGTGCCGGGAGGAAGGGACATCCTGTGCCCTTGCCTTTCTCTTCCTCTTTTAACCACGCCCCCTGCTTGCCAGCCTCAAGGTGCTGTCCTGTGCCTCTCTCCACCTCTTTAACGAGCCTCTTTTCCTCTCTCTTTCTGTGTCTTGTACGTCTTTTCCTCTCTTCTCTGTCTTCCCACCCTGTCCTCCGGATTCCTGCTACCCCTTCCAAAGATACTACGCGGACTTCCTGTACCCCCCGGAGCTGAGCGCTCGTTTAAGTGACCTGACGCTAGAGGGGGAGCAGTCCTCCAGTTCTGACCCTCAGACCCCGGGGACACTGGTCTGACCCCTTCTGATATGCTCCTTGTTGGCCTGGGCATGACTCCAGTCTGGGGAGCACACGCTGACCTCGCTGAGCCCTTGGGTACGGTTGCTCTTAGTCCTGGGCAGGGGGCACCAACCTGATCTTCCAAGGCCCCCAGCTCCCTGTGGGCCCATGAAGGTGTCTGATACCCCACTTCTCCTCTCATACTGTGCTGAGAACTGGGGGCCCTCAGCCAGCTTAAAAGTGGGGGATGGTATAATGGGGGCTCCAAGCCCCTTCCTCCATTTCTGTTTACAGTTGTGATTTAGGTTTTCACTGTCTTTCCCCAACACTAGATGTTTTATAAAAGGGAAACTGTGATCTTGTCTGGTTGGGTTCATTCCTGTCCCATGCCCAGCCTGTTCCATTCAGGAACCCCTCCCATGAAATGGACCATATAGTCACATGGCCCTGTTCGGGGCAGCTAGGGACTCTGGTGTGAACAGAACTCTCTGCCATCCCCCACCAGGGTAGTTCTTGGGGAGGTGAGCTCTCTGCCCACATATGGTGGGGGGCTTGGGTTCATCTTCCCACCCCAGGGGTGTAGGAAGGAGCCCCAGTCCCTGCCTGCCTGTCTGTGCCCGCTTCCTCTGCCCCCAGGGTGAGATGACCCAGCCTTTGGTGGCAGCCTCTACCCTATCCCCATTCTGGGGGCTCCACAGGAGGGTCCAAGGACAGAGCCATCAGGTGTGTTGTGTCCTGGGATGCTTCCGTGGTGGAACCTGGCACCTGATAGGTGCCAGTAAAATCCTCAGGTGACGCCTGGCCACAGGCTGCGTCACATCTTCCTTGACTTTCCTTCCATCCACCACTTTTTAAACAAATCTACACAAGCTGTGTTTTCTATGATACCTGTCTGTGACTTTCTGGAGCTGGGGGTCAACATACCCCCTTTACCTGGTGTTAAAACTTTTCTTTTTGTATCAGCCGATCTGGGCCCAAGACGCTACCCACACTGGAAGAGGATTTTTAGAATAAATGTGTAAACCGAACCCATGTGTGGCTCTTCTCCCTGCCTTGCCTTGGGGCCCACACCCATAGTTCAGACCAGATATGTTTTTATAACACCATGTTATGAAAAAATAGAACACCATGGAAACAGCCTGTGATAATGTCATCTGCTTTGGCTTTACTGGTTTTGTGATGTGGGGCAACTTCTTGGCCTGTGTGTGGCCAGATTCCTAGCCTACGCCAAACAAGAGCCCTTAGTAATACAAATGAAAATGGGAACACTGCATGCCCTTAACTCCCTGTGTGTAAATGCCAGAGATGAACAAGTTCCTGGAAGGAGAGATCACCCCATCAGCCCACATATTTGACAGAGACCGACCCAGTCATAAAGAATCTAAAAGCAGAGGCCACTATGATAGGCCCAATTGGCTTGAGCGATGTAACAGCTTTTATTGTTGCAATAACACTGATATATATGCCTCATTCCAGGTCAGCGCTACCCCCACCCCATGGTCCTCACCACCGTGGAACTTGTGTGTGTGTGGGGGGGGGGGGGGTGAGGGGCAGAATCCCTAAGCAGAGCTGAAGGGAGGCAAATGGGACTGGTGAGTGTTGGGGTTACTGGGGACCAAGGGTTCAACAGGATCAGGATACCTGACTTCTACCCAGAGGGGACTGAGAACACTTTGGTCCTGGGGTCAAGATTTGGCAATGCCTTGTTCTGGGTTCAAAGCTGGGGTGTGATCTGGAAAAGCCTTGATCTAAGACTCAAGATTTGAGAATGTCTCCGTCCCACACCCCAGCTTTGGGACTGAGCATGGGAGACAAGTGGGTCCCAGATTAGGTTTGTGGGAGGGTTCCATCCAGAATTTGATATTGGCCATGGATACTCTAATCTCTAAGCCCCACTTCTGGGCTGGATGGATGAGTGGCTCTGTGTCTCAAGTTCAGGGCTGGGGAAGACTCTGTTCCCCTAGGCAATGGGGACTGGGTAGTTTTGGATCTAGGGGTGGGGTAGGGGGAGCATTACAGATGCCCTGCTTTTTTAACTGGGCAAGAGGCTCCTATTTTAAGGACTGGGAAAAGGCTCTAACTCCCGGTTATGGGTTGGGGTTGGGATTCTCCAGGTCATGGGTACAGATAGATCCCAAGGCCCTAGGATCCAGCCTCCTGCTCTTGTCCCAGCGCTTCCAGTAGCAGCCCCATTGGTGTCCGCTTGAGACCAATGCTCTCAATCTTGTTCTCTATCTTGTTCTTGAGGTTGCGCAGGCGCAGCGAGGCGTGCACCAGGATCACTGTGGGCAATACCAAAAGGAGTGGGGTCAGTGGAATGGGACGTCAGCCTTTAGCCAATGGGGGCCCACAGAGGAACTGGAGTGGTCAGGCCAATAGAATGGTCAGTGGACAGGACACCTCTGATCCTGAAACTGTGGCTGAGGAACACTTTGTAACAGGGTTGTGGCCGGGGGAGGGCTGGCGGTAACTGGGAAGTGGCTGGTGGAAGGCACTTAGTACCAAGAGTGAGGCCCGGAAAGGCGGTATTAAGAGTCGTTCCCAGAAGAGGAGAACTTAGCCAAGGAAGGTGCTTTGTAAAGGGGTGTGGCCTTGCCCGCCCAGTCTCCCAGCCCCCCCTCCTCCCCAAGAATCAGGGCAGGGCCGGCCTGGCGCCACGCGCACGCGCTGGCCTTGTTCCCGGGTATCTCAGGGTAGGGGAGACTCACGAAGCACTGGCCCGGCAATGCTGAGCAGGAAAGTGCAAGCGCCGCCCACCGCCCAGAGGACCAGGAGGCCAACGGCAAGCACTGCGGCCAGGCAGGCGGCGGGGTGACTGCGGCGGCAGCGCGACTCTCAGCCGCCCACACCAGTACCCCGAGGGCCACTGCCACTACCAGCGCGCTTAGGAGAGTGTGCAGCGGGCGCACGTACCTGCGGGGACAATAGAACTAAGCTAGTCAGCCAGTTGGGAGAGGGCCGCCCGGCCTCCAAGCTTCCCAGACCAACGTGCACCAGATCCCAGGCCCTTAGAGCTTTGGTCCCCCCTTTCCGGACCCTGCAAGCCAGAGAAATACTCTGGCCAGCCCTGTCTCTAAGTCCACCCTCCAGGACTTCCGACTCCCAGGAGCCCTGGACCCTTTCTTTTCAATCCTACAGCCCCATCTTTTTGAGCTCCAGG